CTTCCTAACAGAGAACTCAGAAAAAGATTGTTTTAGAAAATAATTGTAACATAATAAAGTTATTCTAATTTTTGAGGTTTAGGGATGAGAAAAAGTCTAAATATGATGATGCAGTTTCCATAGTGTCTGTTTTCATCATAAGGAATTAAACCTTCAAATATCATGCATTAATCCTATAGCAGTAGAAGTACACATCAACTGACTGGCGATGACAGCAATATTTTCTAACCTCTGAAAAGATAGAAACCCTAGAAGAGAATCACACCAATCCACTGGTTATGCCTTGCCTGGTCTGTGGGTTTCTTTTTATTCATTCTTTTTTTTTTAATCCTGATTTTTGTTCCAGGTATAGAATATAATATCCGAATAAAGAAAGAAATGCTTTAGCTAAAACTATGGAAGAAATACTGAGTCTGTGCATAGACGAACAAGGGAAACAGTTAAAGCATGCAAATGGAATATGAAATAAGAAAGGTAAATAGAAGAATCACCTAAATTTCTATTTTAATTCAAATTTTAAACTATCTCCAAAACTGCATCATGTATCACGATTAAAACCAGTTTAGGAAATACTTAAGAGGAATTAAATCTGCCTCACCCACCTTCCTTGTGGAATAAACAAAATTCTATGAAATACCACCCACAGTAGTTAAACACTCTGCTGGAACTTAGTAGTGGGTGGTAAAGGGTGCACTTCCTTGAGTTTTATTTAAGAGGTTCTATAAGATGTCACAGTAACAACCAGACAGATAATTATGGGAGGTGTCTAGAAAAGAGAGTGTTCAAGCATAGCTTTTTAAAAACCCTGAAATATTCAGAACTGCCAATCACAATATGGCCTTCTATGTAGAAGGAGAATACATAATTGCAGCCCATCCAAGTCATCCTACAAACCTTGGGGAATAGAACTGAGAAAAACCTGACAAAACTGACATTCCAAGAGCTTAGACTCTTCACAAGACTCACACTTAATACAAGTACAAATGCTTTGTCTTCCTGGCACTTACACACATATTATTTTACTCAGCCTATCATGTATTCCTTTCAAAAGCAAAATTTCAAAACTCACTGATAGATAAGCACAATTTATGAGACCAAATAGCATCAAAATTAGAATCAGTATAGCAAGGTTAGAATCAATGTAACAGGATTCTTTATATCTCTGATTACTATGCTTAAGGTTCTAATAGAACAAAGTAAACCTTATGTAAGCACATATGGCTAATGGAATGCAGGTATGAAATAAACACGATAAAATGTGTGACAGATCAATAAAAGTAACAGAAATGGAGTGTAACTTTATAAGAATACCAATTGCACAGACACAGCAGAGGAGAGAATCTCAGTTCAAACACTGGTAATGGAAATTACCCAGACTATGGAGCAAAAAGAAAAAACTGCAAGAATGAATGAATTAATTAATTAATGAGAAAACCTTGGGAGTGTGGTGCAGTGGTATAGTATCTGTAGAGTAGCATGTGTGAGACTCAAGGTGGACCCAGCACACCACAGAAACAATGAGAGAACACAGTATTCTAGAACTATGAGAAAGATCATCTTTAGGGAGTTATGTTGGTGAGACTTGATGGGTGTAGCTTCTGACATTCCCTGGAGACAAATCTCATAGCAACTATCGGCTCCTCTGGCTGTTACATTCTCTCTACCCAATCTTGCTATTGTGGACTGGATATTAAGTAAAAATTATATGGCAGGTGTGAGCACACAGTTTTAATCCCAGCACATAGGAGGCAGAGGTAAGTGGATCTCCATGAGTTCAGGGTCAGTCAGGTCTACAGAGTGAGTTCCAAGCCAGATATCCATTTCCATCTTCTGTGGCTTCCCTCAAACACAGGTGTGAACTTTATAATCATAGTACTACTAATAATAAATGTAAATCTTTCCTAACTCACCACTCATGAGACACCCCAGAGTCAATTTTCCTTAGAAGTATAAGAGTTTTGATGGGTAAACATTAAGATACTGAGGATTAAAATGATAGTGGTTGGTACACATAAGAAACCACGGCTCTAAGGTCTGATTTAATCATGCATTGTTCCCTGGTAAGTCTTTCCTCACATCTTCGAAACATATCATCAGCATGGAAAGCCCAGGCCTCAGTTGGCTGGACACTTGGTGCCTTCATGGAGCCTACATCCACCCCCACCAGCCTCCTCTTAATAAGCTCCATGTTAAGGTGCTATTGTATGTAGAGAGAACAAGCATATTTAAACAGTCCAAAGTGTTTGATACACAAGCAGTAGGCCTGAAAAGAACTCCTGTTTACAGGACAAATGGACCCACTAGAAATGTTCATTAAGATACAGGCCACTACTAGTTACTCTAATGAAAAAATTTATAAAATTATTTGAAATGCCATGCTTTCAAAAGACTTGAAATCATAATGAAAGAGACTGGTGTATATTAATTCAAGAGTAAATGGAACCATAATTACTTACAAATTACAAATATATATATATATATATGTATGTATGTATGTATGTATAGTATGTATGTTCATACTCTACCCTCTCTACCATGCAACTCTTTCCTACACCTATTCAATTATTTTTTCAATTACTATGAAAGATGGTCTTTTGCATGTCTCAGGTGAGAAATGGGGACAATACTTGGAGAAAATTGCATAGGAAGCCAGAACCTGGGATTAAGAATCAGAATGTTCTCCATCCAGAATATGTCTTCATACTTACTATACAGGTATGCCAAAGCCATGTCATATGTACTGTAAATGAATACATTCCATTGAAAGCTCATGAAAACCATTTATAAAAATCTTTAAATCATTTTCAGACCTGTGTACTTTGAATAGGTAAAAGATCAACATATTGTGATGCTAATATAGGCATATATAATGTCTATTTTAGCATGATTATGTCAATCCAGCAGTGTAAAGCAATATATACATGAAATTATATATACTAAGTAAGTTCCTAGTTAAATAAGAGTCACAATATTTCTGACAAAGTGATACTTGCAGTGTTCAGATTAATGACTATTTAACGTTACCATAACAGCAGTATTACTGAAACTACCAAACACTAAAATAATATATATTCTACTATGCATTGTTCACATGATTTTAAGGATGGAAATTCTAAAAAAGCACTAAATTATAAACAACATATAAAAACAAAAGAAATTTTAGTAGTTTTAGGAAAAAACAAATCTGACACTATTAATATCTGATGAAGTAATTAAGAAAAAAAAAGTAGTATTGAACAAGTGTAAGTGTAATTATTTGAAGCATTTATTTTCCCCATGCCCTGTTTTCACATGGACAGAGTCTAGTTTGAAGTTTTATATAGCCACAAAATAACAGATTTTGGTAAATAAAGTAAATAAATCTCTCATGGATCAGCTTTAGATATTTGAATTATATAAATATAAAATCTCATTCTATTCAAACTTTTGCTCCAAAATTTATTCATTATTTTAGTAAGCAAACATAGGGGATTTTCCTTTTTGAATAACTAAAATATGGTGAGAGCTATAAACTTAACATGCAAAGTTTCTATGTTCATTTACATTTAAAAACTAATAATAAATAAATCTCCCTTTCAAAGTTTCATATGGTTCCATGAAACCTCAAAATATAGAGCCGATGTGTAGAGAAATTTCTCACAGCTCCTTGTTATAGTCACTACAAGCTTCATAGAAGAATTGCTTCCACATTATTGTTTTTAATGTTTGAATACAATCTTCAAATTAACACTTGCTGTTACTTCAGAATTTAAATGTTATGTCATAAAAAGCAGTTATTGGAAATGGGGAGGGAAAAATGGAAGAGCAGAAGGGAAGGAACAAAGAGATCCACTAATGTTCTTTAATATCACTTTTTTACAAAACTAGAAAATTAGCCTATGAAACTGGTAATAAACTTTTGAATTAAGATTCTGCAAGAAGTTATAATACCTTTCTATGATAGCCATACATACAATATTTATCCTTTTGTATTCAATTAATACATGATTATATACAAAGAGCATATTATCATTGCATAGGTCCACAATTCATTCATCACTTAATTCATCATAACATAAGGGATTAAAATATTTCATATAGTCAAATGGTTAAGTACACAGTAATGGAAAAAATCATTAATGAACAGTATCCCAAATATAGTACCTGACAATATCATGAATGTTCACTGTATTTAATACTGTGCCCTAGATGATTCATATAAATGCATTTGCACTGGTTTCGCTGGGACTCTGAGTTTACAATCTTTATTTTTAATTTTTACTATCTATATTTGTATACATATGTGCATATTAATAAATGGGCATGTGTAAACAAAATGCATAAATCATATTATACAGCTTTATGAAGTTGTATTTCATAGACTGAGTCAGAGTTTATGTTAATAATGCCTCAGTGCACTCCTTAGAAGAGTCAAGCCTCAGTTCTATTTATATAATAAAAAGACTGAAAACCAAAATATAAGTTACCATACACAATGACTGACAGATGAAAAGAAAGTTTCATGGTGATAATTACTAAAATATAATTGGACAAGCTTCCACCATGACTTGAACTTCATTTTTTAAAGGTTGATTCTAAAACTTAACGTTTATCTTTAGCCACATAATCTCTATTAGAAAACACTCAAAAAGAAGATAGACTATATGCCTGGGATATTTCTCTGAATTAACCTTCTAGAACTGGAAGTGGAGAAATTATTTTCTCTAAGCTGAAGTAATGAGAATAATATTTAAGAGTGAAACAAACTGCCCTTGCCAGGAGAACTGGACACTTGTTTTCAAATCAACCAATCTCTGCAAAGCTTCCCTGGCCCTGCAGTCACCTTTTTCTAATCCTCCACTGGGCCAATAATAGAAAATACCATCACTCCACTCACAGTGAGAGAAAGTAGGTCACCCTTGAGAGCTTTGAACTCTGTTTTACAATGTAATGATTGCTAGTATCATTAGCCCAGTTGACTTAACAAAACTCATCTTAAATTAATGTGATTGATATTTTACCTGAAAAACATCTGTTTCTAAAATTCTTGTTCCAAACACCATAATTCCATTGGTATCGACGATTGATCTCTCACTTCTATCGAGTGGCTTTGTGATTTTCTTCTTACAATCAACAATCATTGTCACAGTTTTCTTCTCTACACTGATTGCAACCCGATGCCACCTGTAAAACCGAACCAATTAATGTGTAAGCTTCAGACTCTGGCTGCCAAATCAACAGACTCATTAGAACATGAGCTTTAAAAGGCCAACAATGAGCTGAAATGGTACAACAGCAGATGTACTCTTATGCCTCAGTGGCTTAGCTAGTGACAGCTTACTGCTTACCCAGGATAGCACCAACTACTCAAAAGGGCACAGGTCTTAAGATACAGGAATGGATTAGGCACCTGTGCTGATAAGGACATGCTCATCCTCTGCTTCACTTTGTGTTCTCTGATGAGCACATCTGACAGAGATTGAGATGGACTTGGGTTTCTCTATGTGTAAATGCTTTCTTCCAGTAGAATTTCATGAGAAAAACTTCTGCTCTACTGATCCCCTGAGACTGACTGTGAAAGGGTCTGTCTCTTGACTGAATGGCTGTTCCATCTGGAGCAGCTGAATGTCCTAATTGTAAAACACAATGTGCTACTCTCTCCTGATCTCCATTTATTTCAAGTGTTTTCATGTTCTTTTTCCACTTTAATTTCAAGACAGTTATAGATCACCACCATGGGCAGGATCCAAAACTGAGACACAATATCTCCTCTTTATTCCAGGTCTGGCAAGAAGAAGAAACATTGAAAGAAAGCAGAGTCAGCGCATGTGTGGAGTGGGAGGCTCGTAATACACACTGTAGCTACTGCCCCAGCTAATTCAGGGCGGTGATGACAGGCTAAGAAGGGGGAATGTGGCCAGCTCTAGGAAGCATGCATGCTCTCTCTGCATCCTAGAAAGGGTTTTTATTAACAATGTCTGGTGCTAACAGAAGCCACTAAGTGAAATTCGCTTGGATTCTTTAAGCCACTGTGGTTTATATTTTCTTCCAAATGAAAAGTGCTAGACTAATATTCCAGAAGTGCCTAAGAGTAGATCCATAAAATAAAATACCCAGAAACTTGCATAAGTGTTCCCAAATGTCTGTTTCGTGATACTTGGCATGGCTACTGGTAACGACCAAGTATATTTCCATACAGGTTTTTTTTTTCCTTTGGTATTTCCACTAGCACACTCAACTAGTGAAGATTTGAGTAGAGAGAAGGATTATATAAGGAGCCTTGGAGGAACTTCATACTCTGAGAGTAAAATTTACACATACTTTATGCCAAGAAGCCTGTGTGCTAAGTTAAACCACTCCTAGTCATGAGGGATGTTCTTTTCATTAGCAGAAAATAAAAATAATTCTAATTGCTAAAATCTGATCTGAACTCTAGACTCAATTGTTTTTTACTCAGGTTAAGCCGTGTTAATGAGATGACAAAAACAATAGAATTGGATAAATATAGCATTTTAAATAATAATAATTTAACTAGTATAAGATTAACTCAGTTTTGAATCTTTAATTGTTCCTTTTCTTTCATGGTATCTATACTGTAAATAAAACATCATGAATTTTTATGATTCTCAGCTCAGTAGAAGCCACCACCTCTCTAGCTTATATTGCTTACTGGTCTTGTGAACCTAGCAACCATCAAAACATGAATGAAGGGGCTGAGAAGGGCTTAGTTTAGAAGATAACTGCTGCATAATTAAGATGTGAGTCCTCCAGCACCATGAAAACAGGGGACCTGGCAGCATGCTTTTCTAACCTCAGTGGCAGGATGGAAGAGACAGGTGTTCATCTGGTGTTTCATGACTAGCCAGTCTATCCTAATCCTCAAGCAAAAGCTCTGTACCAGTGAGAGACCCTGTCTCCAAAAAAGTGCAGCAGAATAGTTCCTGAGGACCGATACCCTAAAAGTTGTACTGGATGTCCTATGGCCTTCATACACATGCCTTCAAGTGCACTTCCACTGCCACACACACATGCATCATGCCATACATCAACATGTACAAAACATGTACAAAGATTCACATATTCTCTCTCTCCCTGTCTCTCTACCCCCTCTCTTTCAGTCTCTCTCTCATACACACACACAACAGAGAGAGAGATGCAAGCCACACACAAATAAATAAATTAAATTAAATTAAAAAGCACCAAATTAAATCTTTGTATTAAAGAAGCCCAGCAAATACTCACAGAGCTGTTCGTTTCTATTCTCTGTCTCTCTCATCTCCCCCACCCCCTGCAAGTTTTGCTTTCTGATCTCCAGTTGCTGATCACAGACTGATCTCTTCACTGTTCCATGCAAACACACCATAAGAACGCACTTCCTCCACATTCTCATGCAAACAGAGACTTACTTCCTGTCCTAGCTTTATAACAACCTCTTCATAATGGACTGCCAAGAATGAAATACTACTACATAGTGCATTTCTTCCTTCGCTTTGATGTAGTTTTATTCACAGACATTATTACCAGTACTTTGCATTTAAGTTTATGTTTCTTTGATCTACAAAACACTAACAATACTCAAATAAACAAGAGTGGAGGGACTTCTCCTGCAGTGTTCATGGCTGCAACACCTGTACCTTGATAACTGCCAGCAAAGTAATAAACAGTATACAAATACTTATGGATTGAGTGGTCAGTTATGATGAAATTTATGACTGTTCTTAACAAACCGAAGTGTATTTAAATGCCAATAATTTTTGCATTCCAGCTGTTATTATGACATTTGATCTTATAAAGCTGTCACATTTTAATAGTCCCCAGAAAAGACCGTAAAACTTGTGCACAGTAAACATCTGCTAATAAATTCCTGAATTAAAAATATATCATGACTCACACACCTAAAGTAGAAACAAACGGGACTTACCAAAAAAAAAAAAAATATGATATCCTGCTATATATCCTGATATACCTATGCTATAGGATTGGTGCCTAGCAGCCCAATAATCACAGAGGCTTCCACCAGCAGCTGATGGGAACTGATTCAGAGACCCAGGATGGATTGTAGGATCCAGGGAGGTCAGGGACACCATGAAAACAAAGTCCACAGAATTAACTAAGCAGTGTTTACAGGGACTCACAGAGTCTGAGTGGCAGCCATGTAACCTGCAAGGGTCTTCTGCATCCATGCTCTGGTTCTTTAGTGTCAGATTTTGCAAGATTCCTAACAATGGTAGTCAGGGTGCCTCTCACTCTTTTTATTGCCCCTGGGACATATTTCCTGCTACTGGTTTGCCTAGCCCAGCCTTGATATGAGGGTATATACCTAGTCTTTTTATGTCTACTTATGTTGAAGTCAGTTGATACCACTGGGAGGCTGCTCTTTTCTGAAGGGAAACTGAGGAGCAACAGTTCTGGGGGAGAAGAGAGGTAGGAGGGAGATGGAGGGGAGGCTGCAGTTGAGATGTATTATATGAGAGAATAAAGAAAAAAGAAATGAGTGAATATTGCTATCTATTGATTTACTCATCATGTGATCAAATAGTACTTTACCACTGTAGAATACATACATAAAACTTCTTATCTATTTCTTAATCATTTAACAATTATTTACTGAGCTTTTCCTGTTTTACTTTCATATTTAATCAAATGTAAAGCTATTACTATCAAAGGTTACACTAAGCGGTTTTTTTGTTTGTTTGTTTGTTTGTTTGTTTCCAGTTAAAAAGACAGTGTAGATGACCTGATCAACCGGGATCTCACGGACCCCAGACTGACAGCTGGGAAACAAACATAAGACCAAAGGAGACCCCTTTTGTCAGTTGAGGGACGTAGGCAGTCTATGGGGCATCTGGCAGTAGAATCAGTATGTATCTTTAGTGCACAAATAGACTTTGGGATTTGGGAGCCCATTCTCTATGGAGGGGCCTAGATATACTAGGAAGGGCCTAGGTCCTGCCCCAAAAGATATGACAGACTTTAATGAACCCCATGGGAGGCCTCACCCTCCCTGAAGAGTGGATGGGGGGGTGGCATAGGTGTTGGTAGGGGGAATGGGAGGATGAGAGAGAGAGGGAACTGGGATTCACATGTAAAATAAAATTGTTTTTAAAAAGACAACACAGATTAAAATATCCCAGCAATATGATGCATTAAGAATATCTTCTATACAACTAACCATGCATGATCATCTCCAGTCCATAAATCTACAGTATAACCCCATACCTAAGGGTCAGGGCACATCACACAGGATTATAAGAGCCAGAACCTGGCCACTTGCTATAAGACAGAGTCTTCTATATATGAGAAGGAATTGTACACATGAAATCTTACCAATCCAGTCACCTAAACAAAACCTGGACAGTGGCAATGCCAGCTGGTGTGCCAGTGTTCATGGGAGAATTCTCACAAGACTCGGTTCCCTAGAGGAAGAGCCCAGGCAATTAACAGCTGCTAAGACAGGGAGAATCAGTCTTATCCAGGAATAAGCTTCATAATATGTTTTCTGTCCTTATACTATATCATTCCCAGAGATTGAACCCAAGTGGACATGCTTGGCTGCAAGTGCCTTTATCCACTGAACCATGAGAACTACTAATCTTCCCTCCTCTCTGTCCTTAAAATTGTATCACCTTTTAATTTCCTGTTGTCATCACTGCCCTGATTTCCTCTCTCAACCACACAGGTTTTCTTTTTCTTTTTCTTTTCTTTTTTTTTTTCAGTCTTTACCTATATAGATTATGTAATAAACTACACTAAAATGGGGATTTTGTAGTGGTCTTTTGGGGTGTTTTCCATCAAGAGCCTCTAGAACACACACTTTATAAAGACTGTTGAATAACTAATGAACATTTTCAGTACAGCTAACACTCTCTCACTGTGTGACTTACTTGCCATCAGCGATGTTAACTGTTGAGAAGAGGGGATAGTCTTCAGGACTGGGTTTTCCAGTATGGTCTTCAAATAGAAAGACAGGTGATCTCCCAACCTCAACCCCAAGTTGCTGAATACCATTTTCATTATATATTGATAAAAGGAAAGCTTGAGTTCCTTTTTTGGGTTTTATTGTAAATAGTATTGAAAAATCTTCTGGAAAAATTCCACCTGAAAAGACAAAAATGAGTTAGAAAGTCAAGATTTCTAAATTGTTCCTTGCTTATAATTTTACCTGAACATTTTGTATGACCCTGATAACTAAATGAAACCAGGAAACAGTTAAACTAATAGTCTAGTTGTGGAGGGAACCATAAGACTATCAAGTTTTCTCTGTGTATTCATCCAAGTTAAGCGTCAAAACCATTTACATAAAGAATAATGATCATGAGAAATGGAACCCATAGTCAGATCATTTCAAACAAGCAGAACACTCCTCTAAAAACAGATTATCGCTTAAGGTGTGTTTTTAATGTATGTGTATGTGAGCAGAGAGGGAATGTGCCTGTGAGTGCCGGTGACTGACCCACCCAATGTAGACACTAGCAACAGAACTCTGATCCTCTAGAACAGTGTGCATTCTTACCCACTGAGTCCCTCTCCAGTCCCTATTTTTATTATTTTAATTATGTGTAACTGTGTATGTGACTGCATGACATACATAAAATTATCTGGAACTAGAATTTCATTCATTATGGACCACCCAATAAGAGTGTTGTGAAGTAAACTCCATGCCTCTTCAAGAGCAATAAGGGCTCTAAACAGCAGAGGATTTTCTCCATCCTTAGAAAACAATCCTCAAATATTTATTTAGTAGCTACTTTTGACATAACCTTTGTATTTCTGAGCTTTGGCCACACTATTCCCATACATGCTCTTTTTAAACAGGCACTGTAATAAGTTAATATAAAGGCATTATTTTCATCATCTATGTAAACATTTAGATCACACAACTCAGTTTCACCATTGAAAAGCATGCAGCAGAAAATCAGAACTGTTAAGTAATGAAGTAATACTATCATTTTTGTTTCCTCTTTCTATGGTCTTATTTGAACTAACTAGCCTACTACTGCCTGACATACACAAGTGCTTACTAAACACATGCTGAATGTATCAATTTGAAGATTGCCTTAATATGTCTCTCTTGGACTATTTATAGTATTATTGACACCTTACATACTATATGCCATTTCTCAAAGTAACAGTAAACATGGTATTTAACTAATATATATATATATATATATATATATATATATTAGGTATGTGGTTATATGTAATACATAATTTTATGTGTATATATATAAACATATCATAATATATATTAGCATCATGTAGGAGAAATTTATTACTTCAGTTAAAATATTATCCATTACAAAGCAGGTGTTTTTTTATGGATTATGTCTGAGCCAATATCAAGAGCTTTCATATTAAATCCATTCATTTTTAATTCATTACAGGTTGACGTGTAAAATAATTCTTTTAAAAGGCACTGTGAATATGACTGCCATACGTTCAAATACCAAAGATGACAGAGATATGCAGTATTGCTTCTGTTCATGATGAGAAGATTCTTATTTGTAAAGATAATATGTTTGCCATCTCATCAAAGCACGATTTATTATAGCCCAAATGTTCTTTTCAAATACACTTGAATGACTGAGGCTGGTTCAGTAACATCATTCAGAAAGGAACTTTATGAATCTGCTACACATAGCAGTGAGAAAGATGCTTCCTGAATGGGAAATCTTGCAAATGTATTCAAAGGGAAACACTGGCATGTATGTGCATAAATTGACAAGTAATATAGTAAAATGTTGAGTATTGGGCTGTTGAGATGGCTGCCAAACCTGCTGACCTGAGGACCACATGGTAGAAAAAGAGAAACAACATAAATTGCCCTTTGTCACATACACATGCATACATGTATACACACAGAGACACACACACACACACACACACTCATATAAGTGAATTTAGACATAAACATAAAAAAATGTCATTATCCTGGCTCTTGTCAGATCCATTGGCCATAAGATATTTTTGCCACATGTTCTTAGATTATTACATAACATCCCTTAACTGAGCTAATGATGTAGACTGAACTCTAGAGCTCCAATGAAAATCAAGTAGCATGCCACCAAAAAAGTGTTAATTAATGTTGACTAATATTTGTTGTTGTTAACTAATGTTGACTAATAATGCTGTCTTGTATTTTTAAGTTAATACTATACAAAATTCCACAATAAAAAGTATTTGTTTTCAATTTCTCAAGCTGTCATAAAAATCTTTCAAACTACCTATAAAATCATCATTTTTAACCAATTGACATGAATTATACATGTGCCTATATAAATGTATACTGTTCAACTGGAATTTTTACTTGGTATGATAATTAAACCCAGGATATCATATATACTGCTCAAGAACTTTACCTTAAGTACATCTCTGTTTTCTAACTTGATTTAAACCTAACAGGAAATTTTAGTCTTATTTGGTTTTAATGTCATAGTTTTATGAAAATCAGTAGGAGAGAAATCACAGAAGTAAAATGGAAAGAAAAAGTATAAAGCACATCACTTAACAACACACTTTTTTTTTTTTTTTTTTTTTTTGCTATCCTATTGAAATAGATAGCCACGTAATTCAGTCTATTACTGAAGAAGGCCCAAGTTAAATAAATTCAAGTTGTCCATGATCTCATAATGAAAAAAAAAAAAAATAAGGCATTAAGACATTATGATCTGGGTGGAAAATACTTTGTACATTTTAACCAAAAAAGTGAATAAGTCTATGTAGAGATATTCAAGAAAGGTGAGACATCAGAAACAATTGTACTCATTTAAGAGTAAGGGGACTGTGTGACATTTTAAAAATCTATTGAGTTTGTGAATTTAAGTTCTGAATACTCTAGCTTGTTAATACAGTACAGATACTACACTACAATAAATATGTGAAAAAAACAGTCATCGATACATAGTGTTCCCATCAAATATAAAGTTTTACATCTTTTAAAAATTCATATTTTGAAATATAAACACAGAGTTTAGACATGCTTAATGACTATTTTTAAGAGTGTCAGTGTTCAGTGTTTGATTGTATATTTATCTAGAAGAATGTGACTATAATAACTGCCATGATTATCATAGGTTCAGCCACAACTCTTAGAATAGGTTTTTAATATCAACAGATGTTGTTCTAATTAATAAATAATAGGTAAAATGGCCTAATAACAATGATCTTGAGTTGAAATTTTGTTCAATATTTTTCCAAGCAGAATGTATCTTTCAAAAATTTCTATTTGTTTTCGTGGTGATGATGTTCCAATAATATTCTATACGATAACTACAATTATATTTAAATACATCATATGTTTGGGTCTAGTACCTCAAATGGTTAGGCGTTGCTCCCTAACTAAAATACTCCTCTATCCAACTCTACATCTAGGAATTGAACTTAAACATCTTCTTCCTTTAGTGGTTATAAATGTGTAAGTCAATATATAGGTTTTTCTGCAGGATATTTATATCAGGTATTCCAAAGGCGGCAATGAGAATTTGAAAACAACATCTTTATTTAATTTAAAAGTGCAATTTTCAGATCCTCCGATTTTGTCTCATCCTGGAGCTCTGGAAGACATATATATTTTGATTTTGCAACAATATATTAATTTCTCTTCCTGATAGAACTCCATTCTTTCAAGATGGTTGTTGAAATATCCAGTCCTCCAGCTGTGTTCACTAATTTGATATTTATAATGGTGAGATTATACTAATTTTAATTATTATTATTGAATAATTTCAGGAAATTCTCCTCTCCAATAAGGGATGTACATGAAATGCCTATCATAGGAGTCTCTAACTGAAATAGTTATTGCTAAAACCATTGGCCAGAACACGAGTGCTAACCAGGGTAAAACATTCATGCACCTAAGTTTTGTTAACTGTAGTAGAAGAAGATTCCACAGGCATACATAATAACTCTCCATGAAGAAATGATCAAACACCAAATGAATTAAGTTAACTACCATGACCTTGAAATAATTATAAAAGTATTACGGACCTAATATTTTAGGAACATTTAACCATTAATTTTAAGTACAGTCAATTTTTCATTATAGTATTTTGTGTCAATATTTTGCTTTTCTTCACCAAAACTTAATGAAAGTCAGAAAATAAAATTAGAAATTTTAATGAAAGTCCAAGATCAATGTGTTTTTCAAATACTTTAGAACAGAGTATGGTGGTTCTGCAGGAGGCTATCACATAAAGTTCACTAGTTTACTAGTTTGCGAGCAACTAGTCTGGCACACATAGCAGAAAGAAAGAAAGACACACACACACTCTCTCTCTCTCTCACTCTCTCTCTCCCTCTCAATCAATCAAACAAAGAAGCAGAGAAATAACAAACAAAGGAAAGAAGGAAGAAGGTAAGCAGTATAATGTCCTTCCATGAAAATATTTTGTTTATAATATTGAATTCCTTTATCATATTTTCTGACTGACTTAAAATCTGATGCAGGAAGTCAGATATGAGTTCTTCAGGCAGTAAATGAACAGACATCATGGAGAATTAAATGTTAAAACTAATAAGCTAAAAACAGAATAGAGGTAGTAGTAAGAACAATAATAGCAACAGGAACAAAGACAAAATGAACATACCTGGAAAGAGCTGTTTCGTTGGGGCACTGATTTGTGCTTCCTCTGTAACTCTGTAAGCAACATCTGAATCTTTAGAATTCTTTCTGTTTGTACAAAATCCTGTTGTTTTAGATATCCCCACTGGAGAATTGTGAAAATCTAGTGCTTTTAGTATATCAACTGGAGCAGCTGAAAAAATAAGTGAAAATAATTGAATAGTTTAATATAAAAATACTTTTTAGTTTCAGTATTTAATTATTGCATTTCTTATGTAACAATTTTATAATTATATAATAGAATGCATTCTGATTGTTCTCTCCACCTACCTTCTCTTATTCCCTAATTATTCCAAAACTTCTTCATCCCCACCAGTTCCTTTCTCAGATTTTATGACCTGTTTAAACAGTGCCACGTATACGAACATTAGGTAGATCCATCCATGGGAGCTAACAGCATCACAAGCGAAGTCAATAACACCTTCTCCTCTTCCTGAATCTATTGGTATCAGATGTCCCCTAACGTGCAATCTTAACTCCTTGTTCTAAGAGCTTTAGGAAATTAATATCATAAATTATCTCAAAAAAAAAAAGAAGGAGCATATAACCCCAAACCCCCAATAGTTATATGTCCAAAGAATTCAAAGTAACTTTACTATGGCATTATTCATTATGGCAAAAGTATAAAGCAAAGCAAGTCTCCTGTAAGAGGTAAATGAATGAATTCTATTTTAGTCATTAAAAGTAGTGAAGTCCCAATAGAGAAAATGACCTGACTAGCTTGTGGGGTGCTGAATATAGTGAACCCATCACAACATGGATGAAGCTTTGAAATGGAATAAACTAGGAAGACAAAGACAACTGTGGTTACTTTGGACTTTCAAAATCCCTGGTTCAAACAATGCATTTAGTCCACTGAGTCAATGCATGAATCAAATGGAGTAGTACTTGTTTGCAAATGGAACATTGAAACCCATAATGTCAATATGCTTATGGTGTATTAGCTAATATCTGTATAAAAAACAAATAAACAAACAAACATAAATGTTCCAAGTAGTCCATGTACTGACCAATTTGTATTTCATCAAGCCTGAAACATTGCAATTCTTAAATTATTGAAATTCTAATGGAACCAGCACTAAAATGTTTCAATAGGTAGGTAAGAAGGCATGTCTCCTTTTAGGAGTATGCAAAAACTGTCACTTTATTCATTTATGACTGAGAGTTCTAGCTCATACAAAAGTGAGCCCTTAACAGGCAATACCACCACACTGCTCCTCTTAGGATGTTGTTTATGCAAGGACTTGGTCAGAAAGAAATTGGGATTACTTCTAGAAATAAGGACCATCATCACATCTCTTCACAAAGGGCAGACTAACCAGCATCTGGCTCTTCAAGAACTATCATCTCAATAAATACTTACTTATAATAACAGCCAACATGGCACAGAATATATGAATGCGCAACCAAATGAGAGTTGTGAAATATTTGTGCATGATCATTCCCTTAGCTTATTAACTCAAGGAGCACTGACTTCTGCACATACCAACCTACAAAGGTGGAGCTTTATAGACCCTGCCTCATAAGGTGTCATGAATATAATTTGGTCTAATAACAAATCTATGTGCACCTATGACATGTAGCTGACAAATGAAAAATCCACATGCTATTCAACCTAGCATGTAGTGTAATTATTAGAAAGAAAAATATCTTTATGTAAATAAGAGTGGCTGAAGGGATCAACTATAGTAGTCTTTTAGTTCAGTCTTTGAATATTTGTTTTGAAATCTGAGTAGCATTCGAGAAAACCTTGTTTTCACTAGTCCTGCTACAAAGGGTTGTTGTTAAGCTATTCTTGCTGTCTTATTTTCTCATGTGATAAAACTAAGAAAATAATATCTATACTAAGAGCCATGTCCAAAGACCTTAATATGTGTCTTGTCACCAGGCTAGTTCCTTAAAGGCACAAACCTTATATGCCTTTTCCTGCTATTTTGCAGAGGACAAAACAGAGCATCAAAGACTAAGCTAAGGATATTCTCAAGGTCTGTGTAAATCTTGAGCCTGTTTTTTTTTTTTTCCTCCCCATTCTTGCCATAATAACCCACAGATGAAAACAACAAAAGAAGACTTAAAAGGTACTTAAAATAGGCTGAAATTATCTTAAGCCAGCTAATTGATTCCTGATGTTGATATTTACTTTAGATTAAACTCAATTTGCTTTTTAGGACAAGTATTACTCTAAAAGAGAATGTGATTGAAAACTAAGGCACATTATCTGCTTATTTTATTTTATATTCTTGCTCAAAGATGAGCAAGACTTCAGAGCAAACTGACTTCAGCAGAATGTAGAAGGCTGCAATTCCATGATAAAGGGCATCAACAGACAGTGCATAGGATGGGGCACAGCTTCCCTTCCTTCACAGTGACTTCTAACACAGGGCATCTACAAGTGCACAAACACTTATCCTTTTCTAATTTGAAATTAATGTAATAATAGCCCCCTCCCATTGCTGTATTCAACACAGAGACTACTATCGATGTCTGACAAATTTTTCATAAGGGACAGGATGTGATATCACCATTCAGTCTCTAATTCACAGCAAAAAAAAAAAAAAAAAAAAAAAAAAAAAAAAAAGGAGTGTCAAATTTTTTTTATTTTTTAAAGATACAATTCAGCTTTTTAAAAAATCTATTTTTCTCTTTCTACTGAACAGAATGATAAATTAAATCATTTTGAAATTCTGTGTCTTTCTTGATCTTGTCATTCTGAAAGCCACAGTATTTACTAAACACTCACAATACAGATTATGTTGCTTTACACACATATGTACATGTATGTGAAAAAAAAATTCTACCTTTCTTAGTTCCAACTGTTTAAAGATAAAAAGCAATCAATCATTATGTGTAATTTCAGTATATTTGAAAAAATGCAATCTTTATTATTCAAAGCTGCTCTTAGATGTTCCTAGTATCATTAAGCATTTTCTGGCATATGTCATTCAGTCAGTATCTCATTCAGTAAAGTTTGCCCTTTCTTCAACTATATACTATAGGTTTACCAATCAGGACTACAGGACACAAGAGCCTGGTCATTACCAAAGACACCATTTAAAGGGCTTTCCCCATCCATGTGCATTCTACAGCTTGATTGACCTTCCTAATTCCATAGTTCAAAGTACTCTGCTGCTTAAATTCCTTCAGTAAACCCCACTGACTTCCAGATGGTATCCACATTCCACATTCCTTGCAGAGAAAATCTTGATGGTCTGGTCATATCCAATTTTCCTCTTAGTTTCAACCTCCCTCCCACCCCAACCCAGTGCATGTCCATTCCGATGTTTTACTGGCCCAGAAATACTGCTACAGCCATTGATGTAGAAATACTAGTTGAGATTTTATAGACAAAAAATATAGCACATACTTTTCTCTACTCAGATACTCTCCACTATCCAAACCAATTAACACTACTCTGAGTGGGAAGGAGGAGAAAACCAAGCTGGTAACTTTAAAAGGCATTTTCTCTCTTCTGAACCTTAGTCTGGTGTGCTTATCCTGGCATTGACCATTCACACTTACTTGCCTGTCCTTTGATTTGTATTCTCAAATTAAAAGATAATAGATGTGTACCACACTCACATACACATACATGAACACACACACACACACACAGGCACACAAGCAGAGAAAGAGAGAGAGGATATAAAAATACTGACAAAATGAGCAAACTACACATGAAACTATAAGGAAATTACTTTAAGTGTCACATACTTTCTCCTCAAGAAATAAAAGACTTGTAAAGGCCTTAATGCATTTTCTGTGTGTTCTATTAGCCTCTTAAACATCCCCTTCAATTCAGCAGTTTGTTCCTTTGTTTTTGATCTTGTATTTCTGTTGACTGCAGCAGACATATGGATCACACCTATCTAATCAATATTTTGATTGTGCTGTTCCTTTTGTATTTCTTCCCTAACCTTCTCCATATACGTGTGTGTGTGATATAGTAATTGAAATTCTGACTGCTTCTGAATTCCACCTCTGTCATTTAGTGTCTGTATGGGGTGAACACACAGAAAAATATTACACTCTTTGTACCACAGTTTCAAAAAAGAATAGCAATAATTAAAAGTCTTGACCTCAATTTGTTGAAGCTTTGGAGAACTGGCTTGGAAGATGGTTCTAATGTTTAACACTGCTTTCCTACATAGATTTTTATATGGTACCCAGTATAAATATGGTTTCACATTTTAAATGGTGTCAGACTTGAGAACTGTATGCAACTTAAACTTATTATCCACACAGGAACTCCGGGAAACAGCTACACTCTTTCATTTATCTGTTACCCACATCTCTTTTTACACACCAAAGCCAGTTCTCCATGACATCAACAAAGTCTATACAGATCATAAATATCAAATTAGTAAATTTTTGAGTTCTCTCTCTCTTTCTCTCTCTCTCTCTCTGAATTGGGATTGGATTTAGGGGCCCAGGCATTCCCAGCACTCAATTGACTTATATTTTATTTTCTGTTTTCTGAACAAAATCTTACTAATTTGAGTGGGTTGGCTTATCACTTACTTTTCCAGAATGACACTCTGTTTATACTCCTTCTGCTTTGTCCTATGGATTAACTGGCATTATAGGCATATACCACCAGGCCAGCCTAACATATCTTTCTTCTAGTCCTTAGAAACACCAAAAATAATTTTTGTTTTTCTCAGATGAATGTAATGTATAGCAAGTAATGAGATCTGGCACATTTAGATTTACTAAACATAATCATCTAAACCTACAACACAGAATCATTCAGGAAATCTTACTCCTTCATATAGGCTATGTGGCCCTATTATAATGCCTCATGCTCCCCTAAGTAACACATTAGTTTCTGTTTGTTTAATTATCTCATTGAGACTCTATAGTGTGTTTATTCAGACATGAACTATGTCACAGAATGATTTTCTGTTACACAACATTTTTTCAACCATTCCTCTCCTTCCTTGACCCACAAGCCTCAAGTAAGTAAAACATAATAAATGAAAAACAATTTTTAAAAACTACCATTCTAATACTATGATATACCATATTAAACCATGACAGAAAGTGGCCATATATTATAATTTACTGACTACCAATATTCTGACAGCTTTTCAAAACTCATAACATTTCTTAACAAAAGTTATCTGCCAACTCTAT